GGGGGCAGGGGATTTGCCCAAGTGGGAGGAGGGGGGAGGGGACTTGATCAAGGGAGGGGGTTAAAGGGTATAGGAAAAACTTTTTAAGATTTTTCCAGCATAAACAGTATTTTATGCAAAAGTATAAACAGTATTTTATAAATCCCTGAATGCTGTAAATGTGTTTCTACAGATCAAAATATCATACTTGACTATATCGTGCAATGCTCGTTGAAAATCCACGAGGAACAAACTTAAGATTTACACGAGTCCTTTCTCTTGCTAAAATCTTGTCTTTTGTCCCAACACCACACACGCAACGTGAAAATCTCGAGCTCTGTAGCCTCTGTTGCCATCCTGTACAAAACCTCACTCCTATAAAACTTTGTAAAAACTTTGCTTTCGATATATTTGCTGCCATCCTTTAAATAAAGTTTAAACCATTATTCTTATCTTCCTTCTTGCTAAAAGACGTTAATATCCAGATAAATTTCGTTCATTTTTCTTATGTGAAACTGTGAAGAACTACACCAAGGAATCAAACGATTTTTAAAATATTTAATTTCAGCATGGAATTCAGATTGAGAATACCACGAGGTCTTTATCAGGGGGGTGAATACCACAGAAAATATCAATATTCTTTAATAAATATAGCCTCAATAAACGTCTTAAACTTTCGAAATCCCAAAAACTGGGAGATAAAGACTCTAAGTCTTAAACCAAAGTGTGATAATTATATCTTTATTTGATAATTTTAGCTTTTTTCCTATAAATTTTCGTTCAAATTTTGATGCAATCATTCATAATTTTCACAACCCGACCCCCCCGGTTCTTACGCCGCTGTACAAACAACACGCTCTTTCCCGAATAATTTTCAAACCAACATGTCGGCTAAATAAGGACTGCGTTTTTATCGCAATAAACGAAATTTCGCCGTACAGAATGGCTGAAAACCCTCCGCAAACATCTTCCATGGCCGAAGAAGAAGAATTTTTACCGGGGCATCCTAACGTGGTCTCTTTTACCCAAAATTGTTTCGGGAAGTTGGTGAAAGCCACGCAAAAGGCGCACGGTTTGCCCAAGCCGGGAGATGATTTTGAATTTTATAGCAGTTTTCCAGATTTCCGCGAGTTCTGCAAAACGCAAGGTGGAAGGGTGTTGAATAATGTCGGGAAGTTGCTCAAGTTGGAGCATGTTAGTTGTGGCTGGCCTTCAGAAACGGACTACGAACATAGGTACGATTCTAGGTGGATTTGCTAATCCGATTTAAATTTAATCATGTGTTCTTAATCTTATTGGATGCTAATCTAATTTAAATCCCAATGTAATCAGAATGATCTAATCTGTATGATAGTAATATTAAAATCCTAATTTAATTCAAGTCCTAATTTAATCCAAATCTTAATCTAATCAAAATCCTAACTTAATCTGGATCATCTATTAATTTACGTCCTTTATTGGATCTATTAATTTACGTCCTTTATTCCTTGCAGTATGGACACAGACGACATATTCGAATCTCTTGTCGAGGCGAATGACATTCTCCTTGAACGCATCGACTCTTGCTTGGATGAAGCCTCTGGTTTACGCAAAAACAGAAAACCAGTTCTGCCAAAATCTATGCAACAAAGCACACCTGTTGTCTCGAGCTGGAACAAGAGCGGCCAACAAACAAACGAGGACAAAGTACGCTTCCTGCATGCAAAGAATATTTTACGACCGCAACTAAAATTCAAAGAAAAGCCTGAAAACAATAACGTGCCTTTTGTCCCGATCATAAAAGTAAAGCCAAATGCACTGAAGCCTTTGGAAGAACATGTCAGTTTGGAGGTTGTGGACGATCCCGGTGTACCTTCGGCTTTGGCCAACTTTATTCATGAGCAGCGTATAGGAGCATCAAGTAACCATAATATACATCCATACAAGTTTGAACTAGATCAGTTTGAACCGTCTTCCGAGGACATGAAATCAGGAGAAGAAACAATGTACAAGCCTCTAGAAGAAACAGAACTTATCTTTGTTGAAACTAACAAGCAATTGTCCCAGTTGCTAGAGGTTTTAAAGAACGTTGAGGTGTTTGCAGTTGATTTAGAGCATCATTCGTTCAGGTCATTTCTGGGTATTGTCTGCCTCATGCAGATATCCACTTGGGAGCAGGATTATTTAATTGATACCCTTGAATTGCGTAGTCAATTGCCGCAGCTCAATGAAGTATTCACAGACCCAAAGATTTTGAAGGTAATGTATTTCCTGGATTGGGGTTAGTATGTAGTTAGATAGATAGTTCAGATTAGAGTTCGGGAAACTGTATCTGCAATCCATATGAAGCTATGCTGTTTTTTTGTCCATAGGTCATGCACGGAGCGGACATGGACATTGGCTGGCTTCAGCGAGACTTTGGGATATACGTCGTCAACATGTTCGACACTGGTCAAGCCACTCGTGTACTTGATTATCCACGATTTTCCCTTGCGTTCCTGCTGAAGAAATTCTGTGATGTCATGGCAAATAAGCAGTACCAGCTTGCTGATTGGCGCATCCGACCACTGCCCGCGGAGATGGTGTTGTACGCCCGTGAGGATACTCACTACTTACTGTACATCTACGAACGACTTCGTAACGAGCTTGTTGCTAAGGGAAACGAGCATAATAATCTCTTAGAATCTGTTTATGAACGAAGCAAGAATATCTGCTTGAAAGTTTATGAAAAACCTATGTTCACAAGCGAATCACACTTGAATTTATATAGAAGGCACAAGAAAGCCCTCAATCCACATCAGTTAGAGGCATTCCGCTTGTTGTATGCATGGCGTGATCAAATAGCAAGGCTCGAAGACGAAAGCTATGCTTATGTCCTACCGAATCACATGTTGTTCGGGCTAGCCGAGGTGCTACCCAAAGAGCCACAAGGAGTCCTCGCATGTTGTAACCCTGTGCCCAGCCTCGTTAGGCAGAATATTAACGAGATACATCGGCTGATTGTACAAGCACGAGAAGTTGGACCAAAGTCCAATAGTCCGGTAGTAAATGTTCGGTCAGTGAGCACTCGGGAATCGTCAAGTGAAAGTATGAAAATTGACGAGCCAATAATGAGGAATACTAGACAAAAGCCTCAAGGTAGGGAGCATTTAATTTCTCAAAGAGAATACATATTTCATTTTTAAAATGAATTTTGGAATAAGAAAAAGAGTACTACTGTACAGTCGTATTTTTCGATTTATACTGACAAATGGTTCTGACAACAAACTGTGCCTGATATCTTCATACAAACTACAGCTAATCGTATAATTCAGACCAATAATACTTATTCATTCTATATTTCTTTTTTCACAGATGCAAACATAAAACGTGAACCTTCAACCCCCTTCAAAGACCACCCCATCACAGGCCCTACCCTAGAGCTAGCCCAACAACCAATGGTTAGGTTATTTATCTACCAAGAAACCACCACACAACTCACCGAGGGTGAAACGAAGGCCAAACGTATAGAGGACTCTTTTAAGAATCCTTTTCAGAAATTTTTACCTGCCAAGAAATTTAGTGAAATTTCCACTGACATTTCTAAGAACAAAGATGAAACGAATATTTCCGAAGTTGCAACGGAAGGCGAGACTAGTTCGAAGGTTTCCGATGATGACGTAGTTGAAGTAGCCCATCGGTATACGAAGGCGAGCGAACGCTATACCAAAACTGTGGTCGACGGTAATGCGAATGGTTCTGCTAAACAGAGCAAAAAGCGAAAGCAAGATAATTCAGATGCAAGCGGGGACGAAGATGAAACTGAAGGCGCATTAAGAGTCAAAAAGCACAAGAAAAAAGGGAAGAAAAAGCTCAACAAAGCAGAAACTAATACACAAACTTCCAACGCTTCCCAATTTGTACCATTCGATTATAACAATGCCAGTTTAGATTTTGGCAAAGCGGAAAATGGCGAAGCTGGGAAAGAGGGCGTTTTTAGTCCGTATAAGAAGTTGAATGAGAAAGGAAGGAAATATAATTCCAAGGTGCACATGAAGTCTGGAGAACGCTCGATGACTTTTAACAAGAGAAAATGATTTATTTTTATATTTGAGTGATAGGAATATTAAATAATCGGTCTTTGTAAAAATATGATTCCTAGAAAAAATGTTTTGATGTTTCCAAGAAAAAATGCTAGATGTTTCTAGAAAAAATTTACCAGACAATTCAGAGACATTTTTTTTCGCCAGCGTGACTATCAGTGGCTTATAGTCTCGCAAACAATGTTCTTTAAGTTTTCTGGAAAACAAACGCAAAACGAGCAGTCTGGAACTATAATTTATTTGCGGTAAAACGTACAAAAAATTAACTTAAATTTACATCATTGTTTATCAACGAGGCTACAATGCTAAGTTACATGTAACACGTGGTTTTCTAACAAAAACCAACCCATGAAAAGGACAATGAAATTCGTGGTCGTGACCAGAGTCAATCAAGATACTATCTGAAGAATCTGGAAACTGCGTGAAACAAGATGAAAATGAATTTTCGGCATAACGAAGCAATTATCCAATAGCCTCGCTGAATCACTCAACGTAATTATTGAAATATTATTAAGAAAAATTTCATTGTGCATCGTGAAATCGTGTCAATAAAAAATCGTAGCTCATTTTAGACACTTTGAATTCCTGAGTTCCTAGATCACGTCTCGATTGACTATTTCCCGAGGTATCATATGTACAAGTAATGGCTTTCCATGCTTCATGGTGGCAACACTAACTACAAACCAAGGTAACATTTACAGGCTACACAATACCTAGAGCTGCTCCCGATCGATTATGGTTTTTGGTGTTTTTTTGGCAATCGATTACTCTTAACGATAATCGAATCAGCAAAACAGCCGTGCATAGCACGACACCAGGGGCCGGTTGTTCAAAAGTGGATTAGCGCTAATCCTGGGTTAAAATTTAACCTGCTGTTTTGGTTAATGTATTTCTGCACGTCTGTTTATTTCAAAACTTCAGAGAAGTGAACTCGTGTCGATCCAGACAAGATCTCTGAAGAAATGTTCCCAAATTTATGGATAAGTTGTCAGGAAGTTTGCTTTGAATTAATCGATCACGATAATGACCCGATGGGAGCAGCTCTATTCAGACATTACCAAACTTCGTTTCCACAAAACGAGATTACACAAAACGCGACTTGGTATCAGTGCTAAGCGTATCACGTAGCAAATTCGTGTGATTGATCCATAGATCAGCGGATTGAACATAGCAAGGTCGAGGTTAGGATTTTCACACTTGAAAACGGGTGCTGTATACATACTTACAAAAGAGACCTTACGATTTACGACGGCAACGGCTACCAATACAATAAATCATTGAAAAGAATTGAGTAATTACAATATATGAATAATTTAGTCATTGTCGTCGCTCTGTTTTATACAACGCCAAATCACAGATTTTCACGTCTTGATAAAACGGCTGCATTTCAAGCCGCAACAAGTGCAACTTCACACTGGGTTTAGCAGAACTCTTCCCAACCATAAAACCCATGTCTTCAACTTCTAAGACTGTATTAAATTCACATGATTGATAATATACGACGAATTATCTTTACTACAATTTATTTGAAGGAGTTTGTTTTGGCCGTCGTCGTCGCGTTGCCGTCCTATAATCGTAAGGTCTCTAAAGTTGATCGGTGACGTACGTGCAATGGTGGTACATACACAGTATATACCCTATGTGTACACCCTATTGTACAAGGTAATCAATACCAAGGTAATCAATAACCAAGGTAATCAATAACCAAGGTAATCAATAACCAAGGTAATCAATAACCAAGGTAATCAATACCAAGGTATTCGATAGTGATCAACGCCTGATCAAGATCTTCACTGGCTATGTATAACAGATACTGTGTTGCTCAGGGACTCGCAAGCATCGGCAGTAACGTTAACACATTTCCTCACATCAAGCTTGTCCAACTTGGGTGCCTTCCTCAGAGCTTCCAAACATGTCCCTGACACATTGGAACAGCCAGCCAGATTCAATTCTTTGATAGTCTTATGCAAAGTCGAATCGGTATCTAGTAACCCAGCCAAACCTTGGTTAGTTATAAGTATATTATAACTTAGATCCAATCGAGTTAAACAGCCCAGATATCGCTTTATACTTCGTAGGCCAACGTTGGTGATCTCGCATCCTGCGAGTCGGAGGTCGGTCAAAAATCGGAGCCGACTTGTATTCTCCCCAGGCCCTGGCGGTCGTTCCCGTCTTCCGTTCGTAGAGGGCTTTAACAAATCTTCGATGACTTGATCCGTAATCTTCTCCGACCAACTCAAATCCAGGACTTTGAGCGGAGGACACGTGACTCGTGTGAATGCGCTGACCGTTGCGAACGTGGTCGCACCCAAGATGATATCACGTAACCTAGGCAACCGGCTTAGGAACCACGCCAGCTGCTGGTGGGTAATGTTCGTATGACTGAGATCTAGGGTAAGCGGTTGTCTCCGAACGACGCCGTACAAAGCCGAAGCTGTGATCGGTTTCCCAACTGAGAGTTTTATACGAGTCCAAAATCGTTTATCCATACACCACCTGTTCCACGTGCGAGACACGGCCATGCACGTGGACAACTCATGCTGAGTAAGATACCCAAACACTTTTAGCCACGTGTCACGCTTCATCACATGCACACTTCCGCTTTCAAGTTCAAACGTCTCTGGCGGAGGAGAACTGGGCCGGGGGCGGATGACGTATGTCGCAGCGATTTCCTGTGGAGGGATGAAGGGTATTATTACCGGGGGAGAGGATTGACGTCGTTTCTTGGCCAAGGTTGCCAGGGGGGCGCTGTCCTCGTCACTACTAGTATCGCCACTGCTCTCCATCTCTTCATCCCCTTCGACAGAGGCTGTTGATTCATCACTGTCTCGCTAAATAATGGACAACTTGCATGTTAGACTAAATTTTAATCTAAGTAAAGAGAAGGGAATCAAACACCACAGCTAAAAAGAACATAATGAAATCAGTAAAATTGCAAAATTTGGTTGCGAAATGTTGTAAAGCTTGGAAAATATAGCCTTGTAAGGGAATCAAACACCACAGCTAAAAAGAACATAATGAAATCAGTAAAAGTGCAAAATTTGGTTGCGAAATGTTGTAAAGCTTGGAAAATATAGCCTTGCAAAGTTTGCAAATTTTGTATATGTTTGTATTACATGTGTGGAAATTGTTACCATTTTCGGCTCAAAAATGGCAGCAATTTCCGCATGTAATACAAACATATACAAAATATGCAAACTTTGCAAGGCTATATTTTCCGTATTTTACAACATTTCGTAACCAAATTTCGCAATTTTACTAATTTTAATAAGTTCTTTACAGGAATTTACTTTTTTATGCCTAGATCAAAAATTATAGTCTAACATGCAAATTGTCTATTACGAAAAACTACCGTGAAATTTTAAGGTTGAAAATGCGCATAGTATAATAACAGAACTATGATCATCTGTCTTTGTAAAACACATTGGAATTTACGAACTTACCTTACGTTTTGGAGTTCTGTTAGCCTTGAAAATTAAAAAATATAAAAGGAATATTGCTATAAGTAATTTTACGAATAGGCCGGGAATATTGCTATAAGTAACTTTACGAACAAAGCTAAAGATAAGATCTTCAGAAAAATAAAAAACTGAACTTAAATATCTTGATTATTGTATCAGAAAGCCTGTAGGAACAATAGAGGTTTTAATACTCACAGGTGGGGACAATTTTGCCGAGGCTTGACTGGCCTATACATAATGAAACAAATAACCATAGTGACTATGGGATGTAATCGATCAGGAAAAAAAATATGTGGGTTTCCTATTTCTTCTTATAAAAACTTAGGTAGGGTAGGTCGGTTTTAACTTTTTTTTAACCTTTTTTAAAATTTTCCTAACAACCGGACGCCATTTTGTTTAGTCAGTGCTTCCACATCCAAAGATAAATTTCCCTAATATTGCCTCAAATTTCCATTTTCCGCAAACGTTTTCCTCTAAGTGGAAACACTTATAAACATGATCCAACAAAAAAGTTTAGGGTCGGGATTTCGGCGTCCAAAAGCTAGGTAGGGTCGGGAAACCGGAAACCCACACACTTTTTTTGGCCTCACTGGAAAACTCATGTGAGCACAATCATGTCTTTCTGTGCATTCAACTTTGTTTGTTGAAACTACTCGTTTCATTTTATTAGGCTTCAACGCAACACAAATAACAATTACCGATAACAATTACAGATAACAATTACCTTCAATTCCGCTACTGATCTCCTTGCATTTAACCTTTGACCATTAAAACGTTCACCCTAGACAAAAACAAACAAACAAATTAATTTATGGACGTTTAGAACCGTGGTATCAAGACAATAGAGAGGTTCAGATCAAGGCCGGATTTTGGTGGGAAAAGTGGGAAGGTGGCAAAAAATTTAGGGGAGGTGCAGCGGTCTAGCTCACGACCCCCATGGAAAGTTAGGGCTTAGAACGGGCCATAGTCAATGACGTGACGTATGCATGTAGTGTACATATGTATCAGTGTATTAATGAATTATGACTGTACAACTCATCCAATTGTGCCCTTCATTACAATAGACAACTTGCATGTTAGACTAATTTTTGATTTAGGCAAAAAAAAAAGTAAATTCCTGTAAAGAACTTATTAAAATCAGTAAAATTGCTAAATTTGGTCGCGAAATGTTGTAAAATACAGAAAATATAGCCTTGCATATTTTCAGTATGTTTGTATTACGTGCGGAAATTACCATTTTCGAGCCGAAAATGGTAACAATTTCCGCACGTAATACAAATATACTGAAAATATGCAAACTTCACAAGACTATATTTTCTCCATTTTACAACATTTCGCAACCAAATTTTGCAATTTTACTAATTTCATTATGTTCTTTTTAACTGTTGTGTTTTATTCCCTTCTCTTTACTTAGATTAAAATTTAGTCTAACATGCAATTTAGTCGAAACATTGCATTAAAAGGTTACTTGATACAGAGATGAATGGCTATCACTGTTTCAATTTTACAAAAAACTTTCTTACGAAGTGTACTACCCTTAGTCAAATTTTCACTTTGATTTAACATTGAAACTTTCCCAAGGGGAGGTACAAAACGATCTCAGGGGCCCAGGGGTGGAAAAAATATTTTACTTTCTGGGACCGCAAGAGAACATTGAACATTTTCTGTAAATAGTCAAGTAAATGGACACTTGGACACTGTAATTGTGTGACACTAACAAGTTGTCAAACTGGATGTCATGCTGTATTTCACAGGAAAAAATATTTCACTGGAAATAATATTTCACTAAGAATCTTAAAATATAACATAAAACTAATTTTAGATGACATGCGTCAAGGGTCTGATCCTAAGGGTAAATACAGATGCCAAAAAAGCTAGGGCACTTTTAGGGGACACTATCAGGGAGATCATGCATGCTCCCCCCAAAAAGTTTGTCCCAGATCAGCTAAAAATGCATTTGCCATACAACATTTTTTACATCGTTCTATAGTCTAATACATTTATACATTATCGCACTATTAAGATGGTTACACTTATAATTGCATTTCTGAGGTCATGGTGTGAATTTTCCTCTGAATTTCTCTTTTTATTTGAATTATTACAATTTTTCTTTCTTGGGAAAATATTTTCTGGGAACTCAAAAAATTTTCTGGGACCAATGGTCCTGTGGTCCGATACTTTTTCCACCCTACAAAACCCATCTACAAATTAGTTATATCGAGTGCCCAAATTGCTGATATTTACCAATAAACATTAAAGTCTATTGCTCCTTGCATATGACGACATTTTTATACATACCGAGTGTTTATCACAACAGTCCGGACACTTCCAGCAGTTATTGAGATCAGGGACAACATAGAAATATCCCTTAGCTGGCACACACGTGGGATGCACGATCTTGCCACATGACGCACATTCCATCAAGGTCTCGTCATCATCAGCGAGATTCTCTTCACAAATTTTACACATCGCTGTGGAAGGTAATGTCGGCTGAAAAGAATGGAAGCAATTAGGAGTGAAGTTGATGGAAAACTGAGTCTGTACGACAAGTGGATCTACGTAACATGGAAAACGCGAAAGTGGTCTGCAAATAAGTTGTAACAAGGTTGTGAGGGGAAGCAAGAATAGTACACACGTAAACACGCACAGCTTGTTACAAGTCTGCAAACAAATTGTTACAAGTCTGTTCACAAGCTGTCAACAAGTTGTCTTCGCACTGCTTGTTCCCAGTTTGTTGCAACAAGTTTGAAACAAGCTGTTGACAATTTGTAATGGCAAGCTTGATACAAGAGTGTGCTAACAAGTTTGTTACAACCATGATATAACAAGGATGTTGTAAGGTTGTCAACACAAGGTTATAACAATCTTGTTATATCAAGCATGTCACGGACTTGTCAGAACAACCTTGCAACAAGTCTGATAATTTCGACAAGGTTGTTACAAGTTGTCAACAAGTTGTTCCAAACCTGTTGACAACTTGTGACAAGCAGTGCGAACACATCTTGTTGGCAGACTTGTTACAAGACTTTTGCGTAGTGCCCCTAGTAGTGCCCTTTTTTGGCATCTGCGTTTACCTTACGTTATATTCCTGAAAGTATTATTATCAATATTCTCTTGCCGTCTCAGAAAGTAAAATATTTTTTCTGGCACATATCCCAATAATCCCGCGTGTTAATAAGGCCCTTTTCCACTCAAAAAAATTTAGTAATAGTAGTGCCCTTTTTTGGCATCTGTGGACGCTTTCCATTTACTGTCGTTCCAATTGAAGTGTTGCTCAAATATTGATTCAATACATTACCTCGGGCTGACCAATTCATTTCATCAAGTTCCTCGAGATATTCATACACTTCCTAGTATAATTGTAAACTTCCTGTTGAATATAAAGTTTGTTCGTTCACTATATAGTTTGAATGCACCAATCACCTTTGTTATTTGTGCAACTAACCAATCATAAATAGAAAGGAAGTGACCAGAAATGATCAAATACTTGGAATTGGCTCTTTCACAGGAAGTGTATGAATATCTCGAGGAACTTGATCAAATGAATTGGTCAGCCCGAGGTAATGTATTGAATCAATATTTGAGCAACACTTCAATTGGAACGACAGTAATGGCCTGACCGGTCAGACCTGAATTCTTTTCTCTGTATCAATGGAAAGATCTGGTCTATGTTTCTCAAATATCTAGCGAAAATGCACCTCATTCTAATGTTATCTAGATTTTCCTGTCAGATAGGTCCGAAGCGCAAATGTTTTGTGTTCCATTCAACAATTTGACCGTTCTGACCGGTCTGGCCGTGTTAATGGAAAGCGCCCTGTGTTTACCTTACGTTATATTCCTGAAAGTATTATTAACAATGTTCTCTTGCCGTCCCAGAAAGTAAAATATTTTTCCACCACTGGCACATTTCCCGCGTGTTAAGGCCCTTTTCCACTCAAGATGAAAATTTCCACGGACAGAAATTTTCCAAAAATATCATTGTTAAAAGTTGAAAATTTTCAATTTCAAATTTTTTCCGACGGACAATTTGTTTCGCCCAATTAAAATTTTACAAAAGTTTCTTTCTGCAGAAAATTTCCCTTTAAGGCCCATTTCCAAGGCTCCATTAAGGAAAATTTCCCTTTAAGGCCCATTTTTACAAAAAATTTTGTAAAATGCGATTGGCCGACACGCAAATTTTCCGTCGGAAAAAAATTTGAAGTTGAAATTTTCAACTTTAACATTTAACAGGATATTTTCGGAAATTTTCTTCAGTGGAAATGGGCCTTTGCTGCAGGGAGCTTCCTGAACTTACATCCTGGCATTGTCTCATCATACACGACTGTTTGAGCACTCCAGGTCCACCAAACTTCTTCATGTCTTTACAGTATCTACACTCCTCGCAGTCCTCGCGTGTACACGCTTCACACGCGCGACATCTCACGCGACGTCGACGTAACGACGTGCTGGGTTTCCGAGGCTTACGAAGTGACCTTGATCTTCTCGCCTGTACGAAAATAATATTGGATAATTTAATTCGCTAATTTTGAAGGCGAGACCAAGAGCGGATTTTCATTTTTTTAAAAGGAGGGGAGGAAAAATTTCTAGTCTAGTGCAAACTGCACAACTGAGCGAGCTTCGACAGAGGTTAGGCGTTAAATACTAGGGTTAAATACTTAGGGTTAAATACTTTCACACAAAATAGGAGTGGTGAAGCAAAATTTTGGTGCGGTTGAACACTTTATGGGGTTAGAGAGATTCTAGGGCAGGGGTTAACCCTCCCTAACCCCCCCCCCCAGTAAATCCGCCCATGGGCGAGACAGCTTCACAAGTACAATCGTGTGGCCTCCATGGATCCCACCCGAAAATTGTAAGGCGACAAAACCTGTGCTCAGGCTAGGCATTAACAGAAACTTGCATTTTATACTTACGCCGTCAATCTCGTCAACGGCAAGGATTTGTTTCATGTAGTGAATGCCTGATATCGTCAATGCTGGATCATTGCCCATTTGATTCTCGAGTAATTCCTAAACGAAAAGCAAAATGTAAAACCTCGGTGAAACGAGGATTTAATACAACTCTCGCTCGCGTTTAACAGCCAACTCTCATCAACTGAATGAATGAATAATAATATTTATTGAGGGTGAACACCAATCTAACACTAAAAGGTTAATGAGGGTGCCCCTCAAAAATTCCGGAGTATTAGAGTTGACCGGAGTATGAGAGTTGAGAAAACTCTCGCTTCTCAACTCTCACAGCATACCAGACATAACACAATATAGTTTGGCAAACACCCAACATTCATTTTCATTTCAATATTTGCCCTTGCCATAGCGATATAATACTATAATAATAAATTTGATGACCGTCAGCTTTGGTCTTATTCTTCGAACCTGAAATTCTTCGTCCATGATTAGCGTGTAAAGAAAACCAACAATAAAACTCGACAACGTTTTGATGTATGCACGTGTAGCCAGAAATTCTCAAGTATTTGTTATGTCATCCGTGTAATTGAGATTGTACGAACCATATGACCTTTTCGCCCAGAGGTGGAAAAGTATCGGGAGCTGGGAATCCAGTTCCCAGAAATTTTTTGAGATCTACCGGGTGTCCCAAAACAATCTGGACACTGCTTGATTTTGTGTAACGTAAAATATATAAATGCTATCGCAATGAAATAAAGATCATTGTATTCAGAAAGGACCAACTTAGATTTTGATATATAGCACTTGAATTTACATGCAATATTGACTGCGCTATTGATGTTTGAACGTTGAACTACTGTTTTTGAAAATGCAAAAAAGTAGCGTAAAACAACCTTATAATTACCGATGTAGTTATAACTGTTATACTTGTGAAATAATATTTTTATTTTGGTTGTATCTCGCTCAATATTGCATGTAAATTCAAGTTATATATCAAAATCTAAGTTAGTCCTTTCTGAAGGCAATGATCTTTATTTCATTGCGATAGCTTTTATAGCTTTTACGTTACATGAAATCAGGGCCGCCCAGAGGTTGGCGGGGGCCCGGGACAAATTTTGTTTAGGGGCCCCTATCTAAAAAAATTTTCCCGGAAAATTTTTTTTCCGGATAACAAACCCCCCCCCCCCCCGTCGCCAAAAAATTTTCGATCAGTGTACCATTTTAGGGGTAAAAAATTTTTTCCGGAGTACAAAATTTTGCCAGACGAGTACGTTGCAATTGCTTTCCAGGGACTTGATCTCATTTTTTTATGCCAAAATTCGGTACTTAGCCCAAAAAACAGATATCTTGTCCTTTGCGCGGAAATATTTAACACACAAAAAAGGCTGGGGCCCTACAAACATTTTTCAGGGGCCCCCAGCAACTCGGGGCCCGGGGCAATTTGCCCCCTTTGCCCCCCCCCCTCTGGGCGGCCCTGCATGAAATCAAACAGTGCCCCAGTTGGGGTTTTTTGGACACCCGGTACGTTTTTGCGCAAATTTTCATACACATTTTTAAAGTTTGATAGTTAATTCTGAAAATTTATAGTCCGATTGTGAAAATCTAAATTATTAAATACCTGATTGTTGACATCAGATTAAACACCTAATTAATCTACTTACTCAATACCCAACTGAAATTACATCAGAAAGTTTCATCAAACATTTTTATATATCCTGCAGTGGCAAACTTCAGGGTTCGTAGTCTCCATGACCAAAAATATTCAAAGATTTTTTCTGCCTATTTTCAAAGACTTTTCAAAGACCTTTGAGACTTCAGCTGTGTCGAAAAATTGCGAGCGTAAGCACCATTTTTGCCCAGTAATTAGTCCCGCCACATCTCATCTTAAAATGTACCTTTTCGTCGATATTTGCGAAAACCTTGCTCTTCAATCAATCTTTTTATTTGCTATAGGAAATCGTATAATCAAATACTCACCAAAATTAAAGACTTTTAAAGACTTTCTTCGCTTTTTCACACAATTCAAAGACTTTTCAAAGACCTTAAAGACCTGCATTCAAATTTAAAGACTTTCAGGAATTTCAAAGACCGCTACGAACCCTGAAACTTGTTTTTAATCCTGTAAGACTGTAACAACTGCGACTACTTCAGGATTTATCTTGTATTCCTTATCAGTCTAAATACATATTGCTTCACACGACAACACTAAAAGACAGCGACAAACGATAATTTTATTATTCTCCCCCTATTTACTGTTAATCTTTTGCGGAAAATTTTGAGCCCTAAACCGGACATGCGTGTATGGGGCTCAGATTTGGCTTCAAGAAAAAATACCTGTGGTTCCGGTTCCCGACCGACCCTATTTTTTTCTGCCGACCCTATTATTTTTTCAACCCGATTGACTGTGCAACCCTATTTTCTCCGGGTGGTTGCGGGGTGGTTGCGGGCTGCTGCCAAAATGGCGTCTGTTGTCACACTAATTATTGAAAAAAACATAAATAAATATTTTAAAAAAATGTATTTCCGACCTACCGACCCTAATTTTTTCGTGATATGAAACCGAAACCACAGGTATTTTTTTAGGCCTAGGCAGTTTATGTGAGAGTGGCGTTCCAGTTATATTCATTTCAATGATATTACCTCAAGACGGTTGAGCAGTTGATCCGGGTTTTCTATACCATCCGGGATGTTTGTCTTTGGCCATTTCTTCATCCGGTTTACAACTAGTTGCAGACCTTGGACCTCACGTGACGTCAGATACACTGGGATCCAGGGCTTTTTTGGCGCTGATGTTATAACGACCTCACCATCGTTATCACCATTAATCACCTCCGATCCATCAGCATTCTTTTCAACTTTAATTGTGACCTGGAAATAAAACTACATTGAGCATCTTTTATGCAAGTAGCAGTAGGACTAGGGAGTGCAGAGCTGGACGAAAATAATTTTAGACTAATTTAGTAATTTTTTATCTACGCAAAAAAGTAAATTCCCGTAAAGAACTTATTAACTGAATTATGAATTTTTTTCTGTGTTGGTGTAATGTACTCAGGTGAATATGATTACATCGATATCGAAGGAACTAGACTCAGTTCCGAATTATCACATACTCGAACCGACCTGACCGCGTAGCTCAGTTGGCAGAGCATTGGGCTGGTATTCCAAAGGTCGTAGGTTCGATTCCCACCGTGGGCAGGCATATTTTTCAAGCTTGCCCGCGGTGTGGATATACACTCAGAGTAACATCACAAGCATCATTATTAAAATTGGTAAAATTGGATTTTGACCAATAAATGTGGAAATAAGCTTAAACACGAAAACGAGGCTAAGGGTAGGGGTGCACCGGATTTGGAATTTTCAAATCCGGCCGGAAACGGATTTACCGGATTTGGACAAAAATTCCGGCCGGATTTGAGATAAACCGGTAATGGGGACAATTGTGAATAAATCAGTATTCAAAATGACGGTTTATGTTTTTTACTATTTTTAGTTAGTGTCAGTTTAGATTTTTGATTGTGTTTAAACCTTTTTTAAACATCTTTTTGTTAATAACTTAATATTTTATAATAATATAAGTGTTTTTTTAAACTTTAAAGCTGCCAAATTGATGGTTTATCCCATTCTTGGTGAACTTTTTAAGTTGAAAACAGAAATTTAAATCCGGCCGGATTTTCTCCAAATCCGGCCGGAAGCCGGATCCAGGAAAATTCGTTAAATCTGGCCGGAATTCCGGCCGGATTTGAAATCCGGTGCACCCCTAGCTAAGGGGCCTTGAAGAAGGATGTTCTACTTCTCTGACCATAGCCCGTGAGAAACAAACTTAAAATCGATTCTATTTAAGGTGGTTCTAAGTTGAAAAGAGTGTAGTCGTAACGTAATTACCGGAAAGGGTCTAACAGGGCCGCAAATTACTGTCGGACATGGGACAATGTCCGACTAAATTTGGCCAAATGTCCGAGCAAAAGTAGTTTTGATCGGATATTGGTCAGATCACAAAAAAATTGTCATTATACATTTTTTTGCTGTGACAAAATCCGATTGCAAATTCACTCAATTTGCATTTTGCAATAAAATTTACGAGGCGATCTAGCATTTAATTTTACTTAACTTAATGGCATACAAACTTGTATATATCTTATATATATCTTATACTTATATATATCTTGTGACGTATATATGTCCGACCAAATTTAGTGATGTTGGTTTTTGTCCGACCAAATTCAAGTTATGTCCGACCAAAATTAAAAGTGATCGGACAAATGTCCTGTCAAGTCAAATATTTATTTACAGCCCTGTCCATTGCTCTAAAAGTTTTCATGTACTTAATTATGATTAAAATTTTAATAGTAACCTTCTGTTCCATGTTTTCTTTATTTTCCTCGCCATTTTTTGTCCTTTCTCTCGCAGAACGCCTTGGCCGTCCCTCAGTGCTCTCCTTCGTCCCGTTCACGCTGACGTCATCACTAGTGCCAGACTCTTTGTTACGCTCATGTTGGTCGCGTTCAAGCAAAGTTATATATTGTTTAACAAGATACCACATTATCTCCGTGTGTAGTGGATAGAGGAATTTCTTCGGCACCTGTGAAGTTTTGGATAAAATTGTTTGGAATTACAATTGTCTAGACTGGACTTAGTTTAATTTAAACTAAACTATATTAAACAGCTCTATCAGTTCTAAACTATTTACTATTCTCCCTAGAATTCCAGGAAGATTCATCTCTTATTGGAGAACGCTTTTGGTGGGTCAAATTGCAGGGTGCGATAATTCGCGTACCAACGTACCGGAGGTACGCCAAATTTATGGTCTGGTACTTCTTTGTTTTTAGCCAAGTACCACGTAGGTATGCGGAAATTTACTATTCGCGTACTTTCATTTCCCTTCCAGCAATAACTATGGCTCCTGCCACCACTGTATGTAGCTGAGGTCAGACAGTTAGCACCCTCGGTAAATCCACTGTAAATGAGCGATGGCATTCGAGTCACAACGTCGACGCTTTGAGAACTGTTATATTATATGTTGTACAAATACCATAATTAAAGATTCATTTGTACAAAATTGCCCATACATTTTTTGCTTTTGGACCAGTATTAAAACTATACGTACGTAGGTATAAAAACGCATGACTTGGAAGTAGTCTTAGGTACGTCTTGACTCTTAAGTTTGTACCAGATCAGGTACGCGGCAAAAGTTGTCGGAGTACCAGTCAGGTACGGCCAAAAATGTTGAATTATCGCAACCTGCAAATTGGAAGCAGTTTTTCAGGCAAAATTTTAATCAGACTACCGGGTGTGCGAAAAAAACTGGACACAGTTTGTTTCATGTAACGTTAAAGCTATAAAAGCTATCGCATTGAGATAAAGATCATTGTATTCAGAAAGGACTAACTTAGATTTTGATATGTAACACTTGAATTTACATGCAATATTGACTGCGCTGTTGATTTTTTTGAACGTTGAACTACAATTTTTGAAAATGCGAAAAATTAGCATAAAACATCGTAGGTTCGATTCCCACCGTGGCCAGGCATATTTTTCAAGCCTGCCCGGTGTGGATATACACTCAGAGTAACATCACAAGCATCTTATTCACCAGAGTACATTACACCAACACAGAAAATATCAACCTTATAATTACCGATGTATAGTTACACTTGTTAAATAATATTTTTATTTTGGTTGTATCTCGCTCAATATTGCATGTAAATTCAAGTGTTATATATCAAATTATAATATAACATTTGTAAATTCTGAACGCTGATTGGCTAAGAGCCGTGTTGATATAACTCCATGTCAACACGGGAAATTTTCCGCCGCTTGTAACACGGAAATTTTTCTTATTCTTCGGGCTTTTGACATTGCTATATTCTAAAACAAATATAAAACATTTTTTCCGTATTGATATATAGTTATATCAACACTCGTGGAAGTTGGGAAAACTCGAAATTGTGTGAAAACACTCCGCCCTTCGGGCGTCGTGTTTCCACACAATTTCTCGTTTTCCCAATTTCCACTCGTGTTGATATAACTGTATATCAACACGGAAAATGTTTTATATTTGTTAAATCTAAGTTAGTCCTTTCTGAATGCAATGATCTTCATTTCATAGTGATAGCTTTTACAGCATTTACATTACATGAAATCAAACACTGTCCTTTTTTCGGGGGGGGGGGGGATACCCCGGTAGGCGGTACATATTGGAGGAATCGAACTGTAGTCACCGAGCTGACAGACACTCACCCACCAACACCCTTTTAGGCCAAAAAAATATGTGGGTTTCCGGTTTCCCGACCCTACCTAGCTTTTGGACGTCGAAATCCCGACCCTAAACTTTTTTATTGGATCATGCTTGTAAGTGTTTCCACTTAGAGGAAAAAGTTTGTGGAAAATTGAAATTTGAGGCAATATTAGGGAAATTTATCTTTGGATGTGGAAGCACTGACTAAACAAAATGGCGTCCGGTTGTTAGGAAAATTTTAAAAAAAGTTTAAAAAAAAAGTTAAAATCGACCTACCCTACCTAAGTTTTTATAAGAAGAAACCGGAAACCCACATATTTTTTTTTGGCCTTATCAAAACCAAAGCAGTGTAGGTTAACAAGATATTCTGCTTTACCCTTGTGCTTTCTTCAATATCACAAATCCTCAGCTGTCTCTCGACGTTAAAACAATGAATAAAGTTTCCTCCAAACACCAAGCTATCTTCAGGAGTATAAACGGCATGTATCCAGCCTAAAACACGATGCTTTCGTTATCGTTATCGTGTCACGAAGTTATCGTTATCAAGGAAGATTAGAAGCATCTTTAAAAAATTTACTCAGAGACCGAAAAAAGTTAGAGAAAGCATATTTTCCACTTCAATCGTATCGTAACCAGTGAGATCTATCTATATACATGCATTTAGTTCAAAAAAGATTGTCCTTTGCAAACCTTAAAATGTAAACCTTAAACCTTAAACTGTAAGCGCGCAAAGCTTGATGGGAGTACAAGTTTCAGGCTTAGTAGTTGAATATTGCAGCTATTTGTGAATGAATTGTTTTCGTAAGGAGATATTTACCGTGTCTCTAAGAAATGGGCCCCAGCATATAGGATTTCTAAACTGATTAAATGATCCTCCTATGTTTTGCACGCTTAGAGTTTAAGGTTTAAGGTTTAGAGTTTAAGGTTTGCAAAGGTCAACCTTTTTTGAATTAGCTGTATATATCTCGAGTATGAACTTTAGCCATTTGAGAAAAATGAAGCCAAGATGACAGGCCTTAAAATATCGGTCGGTCACGGACATTGTCCGACCCATTCGTGAAATTGTCCGACGTAGAGAGGAAACCACCGAACATTCTGTCCGACCAAAGTGAAACTGAGGTTTATTGTTTGTCCGACCAGAGTGTATTGGTGTCCGACCTAACTGTAGCTTTGTCAGACGTAAATCAAAATGTACCCTAGCCCAGGACTAGAGGCTTGTAAGTTAAATGGAAAGTCAGAGTACTATTGTATAAAAGTTGAACTGGAAATGTTGTTTTAATGTAGTCAAGCGCGGGGCGGCGAGCGAAATGGTGAAGTGGAAAACGGACTTAAGTTGTCGAAGTCTTTTTTAATACTGCTTTTCTGGCAAGCAAGTTAATTTTGGCTTGAAAATAAGTATGAAAGAAACAAATTATTTAATATATTTACAACATTTACCGTTTATTCATTTGTGTCATTCAAACTTATTTCCGAGTCAAAACTGAACTGAAGGTCACCGGACCCAAACTCAACGTCACCGGACATTTTGTCAGACGGCCCTGTAAAAGATATTTTAAGGCCTGAAGATGGTGGTCACTGACGTCCAATATCTCTTCAATTTCCACAATCTTGGCTTCACTTTTTTGACTCGAATTCTCGCTCCAGTTATATATAGAGCTCGCTGAGCGTTACATACTGTAGCATTTTCTTTCGTGTCGAAGTCATTTGTTCCACTCTTGTGCTCAGGAAACAAGATTGAAGTGGAAAACAAACTCAAACGTAACCTCCACGTTACCTGAGGGCATCAAGAATGTGTTTCCAGCACTCATCTCAATGATCGAACATTTCTCCACTTGATCGCCAAGAAATACATCTTGTTGTTTGCCAGATAGCACCCAGTTCTCATAGATATTGAGGTTCTTTTCAGTCGGAGGAATAAGCCAAAAGATCTGGAATACAAAGATTTAAACTAAACTAACCTTATCTTTACCGGATAGCTCTATCAGTTCTAAACTGTTCTCCCTTAGTGGTCTAGTAAGAATCATATTTTATTGATCCAGTGTTACTACAGAAGGAAACCTAAACTAAACTAACTTTATTTATACTGGATAGCTGTGTCAGTTCTAAACTCTTCTCCCTAGAGGTCCAGTAAGGGTCATCTTTTATTGATCCAGTGTTGCTACAGGAGGAAACCTAAACTAAACTAACTTTATTTATACTGGATAGTTCTATCAGTTCTAAACTGTCCTCCCTAGAGGTCCAGTAAGGATCATCTCTTATTGATCCAGTGTTGCTACAGAAGGAAACCTAAACTAAACTAACTTTATTTATA